GAGAGAGAGAGAGAGAGAGAGAGGTGGAAGAGGGGCGGAGGGGGAACAACCCACAGCCCCAGAGCTCCCTTTACAACGTTACATTTCTCTCTTGAAACTAAAACCATGTCCAGAGCATTCAATACAACTCAATCCAACTGAGTATCTTGGGGACATTTAGATGGATCTGTAAACTTGGTCTGTGCCATTTTTTCTTGGAAGTGTCAAAGATGATACAGGAGGAACAGCCTCTCATGTCAATACCAGGATTGAAGACCAGGAAGCATCAAGACAAGTACGAAGATCAGGATTTTCATTACAAGTGTAAAAAGTGTATTATTGTATGAATCGGAAACATGGAAACAAACAAAGTAGATAGATCTAATAAACAAATTTCAATCCTTCATCAACGGTAGCCTGAGGAAGGTCATGAAAATCCACGGGCCTGACACAGTCAGAATTATAGTGCATGTATTATGGAAGCGAACGATACAACATCCAAGGGATCGAGAAGCCAGCCCTCAACGTGACACGACAAAGCCGAAGATAGAACCCCTCGAGGAGGAAAAAATGAGGAAGGTCAAGATCCACCGAGAGCAAGTTTTCGATATTGAATTTAGATGAACCACTCAAGGTAGGAACATAAAATTTACGGGGATTTAAAAATCATAAGAAACGATCAGCTGTCTTTCGGTCTGAAAAATTATATCAGGGGCAGCTCGTGGGTCTAAAAAGTGGGCGTGCACAATTAAGCTATCTTAGGTTGAAGATAGTCAAGGGCATAGTAAATGAGATGGTGTATAATTTTAGGATCTTTGGGTTGGTGAGGGAGAACCCTGTGATTCTATTTTCATTCTTTTTACTTGTGGCTTTGACTTCTAGAACTAAATCTGTTTTTTTAGCTAAACGTCAATTTCATTCATCCTGCTTTAGAACTGAACACTCAAGTATTACCTTTCACCACTCCACTACAAAACCGTTCAAAAGCACAACACATAGGACGATGACTTAAGTATGTCACGTTCACCTCCCTCAGGTTCACGGTCACAGAGTCACTTAAAATAGCGGCAAGGCAATGAACCAATCACAATTCACTTGATCACTCCGCTGGATTGCTCCAGCGCTGACATATTTTTGGCATATAATAGTGCACAGTCTATCGCGTTTATTTTTTGATTGCTTACTGTGGGCTGTGTTTCGGCACTATTCGGCAGGAGCACATTTCAGATGTGCCGTCTTATTAATATCAATGTACCGCCAAACTCGCTACGAGTGTCGTCATCGCTTGGGTTATCCCAAAGAGCCGTTTATAGGTCAGGTTTCCACTGTTGAATATCCTGCTATGCTTAGATACAGCGCATAGTAGATGTTTTACGACGCTATAGACACAGAGATAACTGTTACGGCGCCAGTGAGAAACGTATTTTGATATATTTGGCTAGTGTTTGTTTCTGGCTGGCGTCTTTTATTTTATTATTGTAGAAGTGTTTTACGTAATAAAACATTAAAAAAATTTGGGCTGCACTGCACGACCGTGCTTTATGGACGAACCGCGCCTGTATGTAATAGGTATACAGGAAAGTCATTTATCAGAGTTAGATCAAAATGAATCAATGGAGTGGTGTCATACTCTTTAGTCATGGAAGTAATAGGAGTAAAGGCGTTGTTACTCTTTTTAATCCACGCTTGAATGCACAAGATATAAATTTAATCCGCAGGACTGATAGGATCTTAATATCTTCTTTT